AGACGTCAATAATATAACAGGTGGCTTTTTGATACATGTACGTCACTCTATTCATTTCTGCATCATACAAATCAATCTGCATAAATTTGAATCAATTACAAACATAAATTGATTAATTGAGATCATATACGGAATAAATAAAGCATCCAACGATCACACGTAAACCGATTTTCTTTTATATATATATATATATATAAATTACTATATAAATAAAAGATTCCTAATTGTTTTATTATATAAAAGAACGCATTGTAAATTTTGCGTAGCACGTAAAAAAGCTCGGCAATTGACAAACTTGCTGATACAAATGCCAATCGGACGAGTCGTGACGATAAACCGAGAACGTGAACGGCGAGGGAATAAATAGGTAAAGAAACGGGCGTCGCGCGATAGGGCCGAGAGGCGATCGCCAACTCGACAAGCGCGATGTAGCCGTCCGTGCCATCGGCGATCCACGCCCCGCTGACTGGACTGTTTTTTATTGCACCGCTAGGCGGAGAGAAAGACGCGAAGGAGAGGATCCCGCGAGGCGCTGAGCGACGGGAATCCCGCGTCCGGTCCATCCGTTCGATTAGTGGCAGTACGTTCGAGAACGCGGAGGCGAAGTGGCACGAAAAGCCACCCTGTCGGCTTTTTGCGCATTGCCGGCGTGCCCCCCGGTGATGACATATCCCTGGATTGGCGTTATACGACTCTGATCTCAACTAGTGCCATTTAATTTAGCAAACATTCAAAATGCATTGAACTAAAGAACTAGTATAATAGACACTTTATCCATTATATGATTTAAGCTCCTGTTATATTGAAAAATGTATTAATTCCATTTTGACAAAAACTGGAGATACGATCTTTTACTTCTAAGGTACAGAGATTTATTTAAAAATATATTAAGAAAAATATATTTATGCATTATATATTATATTATCATCATATATATTAATCATATAAAGTGTATAAAGTCAAAAAAATTAAGCATATTTTGAAAGATGTATAATAAAACTTCCAGACAATCGCATAAGCACGTTAATACGTAACAATTACTGATATAATACGCAACGTATGAAGAAAAACAGAATTTGATAATGACTTGTCCGTTTCATGAAATCATGTTCAGTTGCACTTTTACGATGAGACGCATCTTTACTTGACACACGCCACAATCTATTAGTGGTTACGATCTATTGGCGGATTAAATGCGAACGGTCGGCGAGCGTTCGGACTCGGTAACTTTCTTACGGTGTCATCGCGACGCGCTTTCGATTTCCGCTCGGTCATCGAGTCTCATTTAAAGAGGAGGCGATCCTCGTTAAGCGGCAAAACCGAGATATCGACTGCCTGTGACTCCCCCGGGCGATACGCCCACTCGATACCGCGCTTTGATCCACGGACAAATATCCTCTCGTTTGCCATTTAGCTTCTCCATTTGCCATTTAGTCAAATGGAGCTTCACGGTTTTAGCACGCAGCTACCGTAATATGATATCCAGATGCTTAATATTAAATAAATAGCCGGTAATAAAATCTCTCATCTCTCTTAAAGTAGTAAGTTTCTGTTAAACTGAATTATTTGTTCCGTCCTTATTCTTGACTGACTCTCATAGTATGGCAAACGTGTGAATAAAAATGTGAATGAAAATACAGATAGATGTAAAATATGTAACTAATATATAAAATATATAAAAAATATTTTTAAATGGCCTCTGAAAATTGAAATGTTTCAACGTATCTGCGTATTTATATGTTACTAGTAGTACATGAAACCTTAAAAGCAAGATATATTTTTATTTCTAAAAATCGAATCCTTGAAGTGTATTTTTTGAAAGAAGAAAACCTTATTCACAATTCATTATTCAATAATCAAATTAAAAGATGTCTTGGTACATTTTGGGTTTTATATATATATATATTTTTTTTTTTTATTTTTATATATTTTATATATTTTTATATATTTTAATAAAGAATTTCTGGTTTTAACACGTCATATGCGCTGAAAAAAACACGACACTTGGGCAATCAATACAGGCGATGGAGTATAAATGAGAAAATGAATTAGTGATGTAACCGTGGGTGTCTGATTACCGTGTGCTTTCGGACACGCCGGCTCGGTTAAGACGAAGAGAAACAGGGGTGTCGAAGGGGCGCGCATTAGCGCCTCGTTTATTATTCATGTGTGAGAGTTAAGCGCACGCGTATGTTACTCGTAATTTTCGTGCGCGTACGACACGAATTTCGTTTCGACGCGTGCACGCAGGGAAATTGTTGCTCACGTACGCGTTTCACTCCCCCCCGAATCGTTTCATTTGTGCACCCTGCGGTAAGGTTGCACACCCCGCCCACCCAGTAGGTAGCTCTCAGTAATATTCACTAAATGAGAATTGTTGAAAGCCTGACGGGAAATTGTACTTCAATGTAAGTGAAACTACAGTTTATATTAACCCTTCGCCCGTAAACTGGGTCATAAATGGCACAAGCCGAAATTCAAGATAGAATACCGCCGAAATGAAAAGGGGGGGGGGGCTTGCCGTCCCTCGTAAAAAAAGTAGATAGTGGGGAGAACTCATGCCCAAAGTTTCGTTGGAATTCGCCAGTGTGTGCTTGACCAGCAGCGAGTCAAAGTGCGTCCAGTGCCACTATTGACCCAGTTTACGGACAGTGCCAGACTTTCGTGCAAGTAAGTAAAATTAATTTAACGTCATTTTCATATTACTACAGTTATTTTTAACTTATATAAGTGATATTTTTTTATGATTGTGTATATTATATATACCTATAACCTCAAAATTTGAGTGGATGAAAACACGTGTAAAAAGAAATTACATGTACTTTCAGGGTACAGTGGATGATCAAGCGACAAATATCAGATATTATTTACGAGAAAGACGATTTTATATGATTTTTTAATAAAATAATGTAAAAATTACGTTAAAAGTCTTATTTCTCCTTAACCCGAAAAAGGCCATTTTCAATCCTCAGAATAATTATACTTTTTAAAAATGACCCATATACAGAATTTTTTTCTTGAAAGTACACATATTTAACTATAAAACCTCGTTGGAATTTTTTATTTTGATTTAAAACTCAATGAGATATGATTTTTTTAATAAAAATGGATTTTTATCAATTTTTTGCATAAAGAATTATTTATAAACAATTTATCTTATAATGAATCGCTAAATAAACTTTGGGATTATAAAATAGGATAGTATACAAGTATTACAGAATTTTTTCAGATTTTTTGAACACTATTTACTAGGTCAAAATAACGACAGGACATTTATGACCCAGATTACGGACGATGCCAGTCAAATTATAGTTTACGGGCGAAGGGTTAAGAGAGGAAAATTTATGTGCATATTATAGAGAGAGACTTAAAGAGAGAGATATGATAAATATTGATTTCTCAAGCAACAAATAAAATTTTTGACTTGATAAAGAGATTTCTTTGGAAGAATAATATATCTCAATATGTAAATTAATATTTATCGTATATTAATTTAATATAATATGCACATAATATAATAATTTAAAAAGATTCTATAAATATGATTAAAAAAGATATTGAGATTTTTTTCGTAGAAAATGACTAACTACTTTAATCTTGTGTTATAAAATTTTGTATATACATTAAAAATTTATGTTCTTAAATTTATAACATTTAAAATCTGGAAATTGGAAATGCTATTTAAATTTTATGTAGTCTGACGACATTAATTTTTCATTTCAAGTACAACTGTATGCAATTAAAAAGTAATGTAAGTTTTTATGTAGATCTGATAAATAATCAACTTTTTCAATATTTAGTGTAGTCACAAATCAATAAATTTTAAATTCGTAATATAATATAAAAAAGTTCAAATTCTATTTTTAAATCGGCAGAAGCGAACAGATATGCGTAATTGAAAAAAAAAGTATTTCTTTAAGCGGATTTTGTCAATTTTAGAAATAATTCGGGAGTGAGAGGATTAAAAAAAAGGCGACATGGAGCACGAGGGCTCGTTCTGGCGCACAAGACCTCTCACCTGGACGAGAATTCCTTGTCGTCTCTACACGAAGACGCGTTAAAGTAGTGGGTGTGACCGCGATCGTATCACTCGGGTTTGTTTAAATAATCGAACCTTTCGGGGCCGGAGTGGCCGGACAGCGTATCTCCCTGTCGGCATCTGACCAGCCAATATGTATGATAATTTTGACATGCCTACACCTCATAATGGAACCAGACTTGTCCTTCATTTCTTGCTTTGCTCTCGTTCTGTACATGTTCTCGTCTCACACGTAACTGGAAAATCCTCGGCAAAAGTAAAACTGTAGCATTCTTAAAAGAGTCTCGAAGAAAAGGCATCAATATGTATAATATACGTTCTCAATTCTTTCAATTATTTTTGCAGATTTAAATAGAATTCAATTATTTTTATATCACATCCACGAATTATTTGAAGAATATTTTGAAAAATCCCTTGTTTCGCTCAATTATTCAAATTATTGCTTTTTTAAATAACATTTATATTTGTTGTCAAAGTCATTTTCCTTGTTAGACGGAGCTGATGTAATCGATCGTTGGTAAATAAGATGTCGAGTGTATTTTGTTATGGAAGAACTGGTAATGCATCGACAGCAGAGAGAAGTCTGGGAGTTAAGTATAATAAATATATTATTTTTCATGATTTAAGTACATTTCTAAATAGTTATAATTTTAATTTTAAACTTGCCTATTATACGTATGTAATATACATATACCGAAAACATATTTTATCTATATACATGTAATAATATACCATATTATACATATACATTTACAGATGTAGCGCGGACGCGCACTAGAATGATGTTTTATTGGCAGTGCCAGAAAATAAACGTGGCTACGTAGTACCAATTTCGAAAATGGATGTAGGGTACAGGGGCTCACAGGGGGTTTCGACGGTCCCACGAAAAAGACCGCGGGTTGGCCTCTCTCAGGCTTTTCTCTGCCGACAGCCTATCTTCTTTCTAGCTTTGTGCGTTCAATCGTCTGGCGACAGCACACGTCTGTGAGGTCGACACCATAGAAGCCCTCGTTAATTATCTCTTTTTGTCTTTAATGTCACGCGAAATTTGCTACATTACACGTCCGGCTTTCTATTAAATGCATTAAGTTAGAAATTTAATTTCTTCTTTTTTCGGTGAAGCATGTTCAACGATGTTGCGATCGCAAACGGAAGTTCCTAACGTGTCGCGCGACTTTTTGCGTGCCTGTCACAGTGGAGACGTACACAAGGTGGAAGCTCTGGTTGAGAAACACGGAATTATCGACTGGAGCGCTTTTCGTCACGTGGCATCCGGCGATACCGCGTTGCACGTGGCCACACGAGAGGGAGATACGAACATCGTGAGATATCTGTGCGAACGTTTTGACATGCCGTCATTTAAAGTCAACGTCACCAACAAAGACATGAAGAGGCCATTGCACGAAGCTGCACAATTCGCACAGGAAGACGTTTTGAAATATTTATTGAATAAAGGTATTCTGTTCGTGTGTTTCCTCTTTCTCGATTAATTATTTGCCGTAACAAATAAATTGCAATCTGCTTTTAATCACTTAAGGGGATGCTGGAGCCGTCTGTTTTACCGGCATTTTTTGTCGGCACGTAGCGTCGTATTAATTTGACAGAATTAAAAATCCTTCTCCAGAATTGCAGTACTATACATTAATGATTCGGGGGAACTCTGATTTTATATAAAAAACGAGAAAAAATTACGGAAGTACAGATTTCCTTATCCTACTTTTATCCCAATATGGCGTCTTGAGTTGCAGCGAGCTGTCAGCTCGTCACAAGATGTATTTCATATAAGAGATATACCATTGGTACGAACGCGAAAACAAGTTCCCCCGAATTGCACAACAAGAAAAACATCGATAAACCCTCCAAATCAAGATTTGGAAGCGTAATATAAAAGTATAATGTCGACGTGCATCGTGCGTATGTGTGCGTGCAATGTAGCGTGCTATCCTTGTCTTTGTCTATACAAGGACAGATATAGTTCGCCGGTCTTCTTTACCGACGCCGATCGAGTTCGGCTACGGCTCCAGCATCCCCTTAAATTATACAAGAACATTTTATCTTTCTATTGTATCAGCACCCGATATTTATTTATTTTCGTAGTACATAAAATAAAATTTTTTAAATTGACTTTTTTATATTGTGTATGTAGAAAATAATTTACGTGGTGTATTTTTAAATTAATTAACATTAAATTATACAATATTATATTACATATAAATTTATATCACATTAAATTATATGGATTTGTTATATCAAATACTATCGTTCGGTCAATATAAAGGTGCATCAGTGGACGCTTTAAAACGCGGCGACTGGACACCTCTGATGCTTGCATGCACCAAAAGCGGTCTCGCAGCGCGTCAATGCATCGGTGCCCTTTTAACCGCTAACGCTAACGCATATTTACGCAATAAAGATGGCTGGACGCCACTGCTCATTGCCTGCCGAACTGGTGATGAAAAGGCGATCGATATATTGTTGAAGCATTTGCCGACATGCATCGACGATCGAAGCAACAATGGCCGCAGTGCGTTGCACATTGTTGGTGATTATATATATTTATAATATACTAATTTCTTTACAATCTTTTTATAAAAAAAAATATGATTTAAACTTTAAAGAATGAAAAAATTTGGTATATATTTTTTAGGATAGTGCTTCAAAAATTCTATTAAAAATATCCAACTCTATCTTGATTAGAAGAATCATTATAAATTTCATGAAGTAAAAAAATGTAAAGTTGGCACTATACATATATGTATATAATTTGGATCTATATTTTTTTTATTGTTAGAATCTTTTTAAAATGTGTCAGAAACTCTAGATCTTCAAAATTCTATTCTGGAAAAATTATAATTCTATTATACAAAGAAATGTTTTAAATGGAACTAACTTCACACAGGAATCGCCATTATCTACCAGTGCAGATGTCCATATCTAGTCAGTTGCACAATTCAAATCCGCTATGTTATATAGATACGCATAGTCGGTAATGCGAGTAATTTATCTCTTGAACTGATAGTTATTATAATTTCCATTGATTTATTTTTTATAATTGTGATTTAGGAATTTTTTTTAGATAAATTATAAACTTTAAATAGGATCCTACTACACATTTTTTTTTAGCAAATAATGTTTTATTACTATAATGTATGTTTTGTATTATGTTTTCTTAATATTTTAGTCAATATTGTGTATATAAATTTACTTATGGTTCATCGTTAATTGATTTATACATGTTCTTTTAGAGATTTAAAATCTATTACATAGGTATTCTTTTTTATAGAATAATGTTTACATACACCCTTACTTCTATCTTTTATAGCTGAGTAATATAGTTTCAACGGTTGGATCTAGGATTCTAATTTTTATTATTTAATAAAATATCTAACTAATATTTTATTTCAAGTAATTTTTAATTTTTTATAAAAATATTTAGCATTGTTTTTTTTTTATATTTCTTGATATTCCCTAGTCTCCTATTTTTATATTGTTCTTTTAACAAATAAGTTAAAGTTTAAAATAAAATTTAACATCTGTCCGATTAAATTGTGATTAGCTGCTTTCCGTATGCTCGTATTCATTTATATTTATTCCTTTCTCTCTACATCCCGATTTGCAATATACTATAATTTCTATCTTCAATTGACGCAGCATTTCACGGCCACGAGAGAGTGATTAATTTGCTCGTCGCATCCAATGCAAATCTTCTGAATGCACGGGACTCTTCAGGCTCCTCGCCGCTGCACGAAGCGGTAAAGCACGGAAACTTGGATGCGACGAAGTGCATCGTATCTCTGGGCGCCGATGTCATCCTCCTAGACAATGTCGATCAAACTATTCTACACGTTGCCGCATCGACTGGCAATGCGGAAGCTGTTGAATACATTTTGGAGCATAATCTGATCAACGTAAATTGCGAGGCTTCTTTTGGAATCACACCGCTGATGCTAGCTCGTAGGAATAATCATAGCGACGTTGTTAAAATTCTCATTAGGTATGGCGCTAAATAATAAAATATTTATACGTAATAAATACTTGTTATTAAACAATTTTTTTTTACATACTCTTGTAATTAATAAATTGCACGAGTTAAACGCATAAGTGATACAAGACAACATTTTTATCACTTCGATATCTTTTGTGCGTCTCTTATAACTAAATCTGTTTTTTTATTTCTCTTTTAAAAAATATGTTTTTTATGATTTTATTAAAGTAGGATTTTATTAATCTAATTCTCAATGGCTCTTACTGTAATTATGACTAAGGATAAAAGAAAGGCGAGTGGATTTTATTCAGAGAATGGTACACATTTATTTATCCTTTGTTTTTCCTTGTATCAGACAGTTTTAAAGAAGCATACAAAAATCAGGAAACGGAGGCTCTTATTAGTTCGGAGATACCTAGGCTTTACATTCTTCTTCGTCCTCTACCCTTACCTTTCCTCCTCTTCGTTAAACTTTCTTTCTTTTTTAGCATGCGCAGGCAGGCGACGTAGTACAGAAAACTCATGCGTGTACTATTAAGTGTGCGCGTGCTTAAACCTTAGAACGCTAACGTAATTAGTAATTAGTATCAACATTTTGCGACATATGATCTCAAACAAAGAGAAGCGATACAAAAGAAAATAATTTGCAGAAGTTTGAAAAAAAAACTAACAATTACCGTAATAAGTAATTGCTCTTATTTTATTGCTAACGCCGGATCGTTTGAAATAAAATTCCTTTAGATTGCTACAAAAGTACTAATCGCGATGCCACAAAGTGTTAAAAAGCTCTTATTTTTTTCATAAAATGTAATTGCAAAATAAAGAGAAAATATCGTTGATCGTCATTAATATAAACCTTATTTATGCATTAATTATGAGGAATATATCAATAGACAAACAAAGAATTGGCATCTGAGTCGAATGGTGAACCGATGGCTCTGGTTAGCGTTCTAGCGTTAAGTATCGTTTACATCACGAAGAAAAAACGTAAAAAATAAAATCACAGAATTGTATGAATTATTTGCGATCGCGTGGACCTTAAAAATTCGTGATCTTCGCGGCTTTCTCAATTCGACGGTTTGGGAGAAGAATATGGCCGGAAGCGGATTAAGCCTTTTCCCTCTATTGACACATCTCTAAGTACCAGCAAACTTTAAATAGTAATCAGTCGTAATAGTCGCAGAAGAATTATAATATGGCTATTATTATTAACTATACTAAATACAGTATAGTCGTATAGCATAATGTAATACTATAGTACGCGACTATCGTCAAGCTATACCGGATAGTATAGTCAACCGTCACTGTTACGCTGTTTCTGGGGCTTGGAGATATCAATAGTAGGCTAAGAATTAATTAACGCTACCCGCAATTATTGCGCCTACTGCAGAGACCGTCCACTTTGATGCCCCATGCGACCGCGATTTACATTGGAGAAATAAGTATATATATGAAACAAGTGTAAAGTAATTACGCGGTGAACTCGCGATCTTCCATTCATTCACTGCAAATTACAGTATATACAGTATACGGGACGCAAATATTACTTCGTAAGAGGCTCCAAAAATGTTTCTAATCGGTCCTGGAAGGCGGCGATGAATCGACAGAGAATTAATTTCTTTTTTAGCTATGCCCGACGCATTTTCATTTCCTCCACTTCAAAAAATAAAAGCTTATCCGCTAAGTATCTCGCAGGACGAAGTTAGGAGACTTACGGAGAAGGGGGGGTTCTAAGTAAGGGATCGGGAGATGGAGCGGATAATAAAGGATCGTTACGTTAGAAGAAGAAACATCTCGATTGAAACGATCAATTAATCTTGCGCCTTTTTTTCTTACCGCGGGAAAGCTGGGCGGGAATAAGAAGAAGAGATGAAAAGAGAGTGGTCTCACGGAGGGAGGAGCAGGAGGAGGAAGATATTTACATTTATAAAACGGCTAAGGATAAAACATGCACTGTACATCGTCTGTCCGTATTCGATTAACGCCGCACACGCGTCCTTCCCTTATCCTTTGATCCTTTCTCGCGCAGCGATACACATGTGGACGAGTGTGCTCGACTACGTTTTGTTTCGTTCTTTCTTTCTTTTCGGTTTTACACTCGAGACACTCAGATCGTAATCCGTAAAATCCAAGATCCGCTCTCCGAACTTATTTTCGCACATAAAACTATATCTCTCGTAAGGTTCGCCTTGAATATAATTTTACGTTTAAAGCGAGTTACAAGAGAGAGCGAGGCTCTAGATATAATTTTATACTCAAAACACCAGGATGGCCTCATCGATTCTCTTCCTCGAGAGAGATAAAAAGACCGCTTTAAATATAACTTTATATTTAAAATAAATATGAAAAATTCTAGCGAAAAATGCGAAAAGGATCACCAAGTAGAAATTTCGCGCCCGAGATGTGGACTTTGCGAGTTTCGATCCCAACCGTCTCGTTTTACCTCTCCGTCGTCGGCCTACTTTTAGTGGAGTTTGTTATAAATATCCAACGATTACTTGGGCTCTTTAATATTTTACTTCCTTTCGCTTAGTTTATTTACACATTAACTAATACGCGTTGGGACTTAAGTTAAGATCCGCCATGCGCGCGTCATCCGCGCCGCGTCACCGATAATACATAATAGCTCGTAATAGCATCGCTACTTACTAGTAAACTTACCCTAGGTATGCTCTCTTTCCGCATGTCTATCGGTCATCAATCTCAGGGGTCTCTCGCATTCTCTCGCTATACTCTCGATCTCTCGCGCTCGCGCTCCACTTTACATTACAAGTATTCCAACATGTACAAAGCCCTATTTACATTTATGTACATACAGCTCTCTCGCACTCCAGAGTCCTTCGCGACATTGATAACGCTTTGCGTACGAACGTGTCCACGCGCGGTGTCCCTGTTCGTGCACGCGATGAAACTTCTAGTTCGGGACGCCTCGAACTGGGACGCGTCCTCTGCCGCATTCTCGTCGCATGTTTAATTAATACTAAACGCGAATGTGCGCTCGCCGCAAGTTTGGCGGCTAAAGTTTGCAGACGTTTAATTTTTCTCGCGCAAGATCGTCGCCCTTTTCGTCCATTAAAGATGCGTCGAGAATACGGACTATTGTCTCTCGTCTCTGACACGCTGTGATCGACTTTCGGGCCCACGACGGCCTTTTTCCTCCCTTCCTAAGTTCGCACGAACGTCGAACGGATGGAATGTGGGTGCTTTCAACAATTGCCTGGCAATTATACGTTATGCGGTTGAGGCTCGTAATTCCCCCGGTCGTAGAAAATTATACACACAAGCTACCTCTTTCTGGTTTAATTGCTCTCTGGTAAATCAGTCATGGCGAAACTTAAACTCTAAGCAGCTCGTAATCTCCGGATCGTATAATCGCAGCTTTAAGAAATGATCTGATAAGAAAATGCGGCGTTGAATCGAATTCGATAGTAAAGGGATGTCGGCATTCTTGATTATACGTATTAAAAGACTTTATAATATTTATATTAGATAACGTTTTTTCAGAGGCGATTATCCCGATTAATTGACGTAAGAAATCTTATAAAGTTCTTTTATAAAGATACAACTAAATAATAATGTTTCCCTATTTCACAATATTCTTCGCAAGGATTTTATCTAAAAAAAATAATTTTTATAACTCTGGTGATCTTGCTAAGTTACTGATAAGTCGTATTTATAACGTTTTCATTTAGTTTAATTTGTGTTAATTTATAAAAACTCACTTAAATTTTATCTTTGTGATATGACACGTCGCATTCGTAGAGATTAAATTATTTATTATCCTGCTTTTCCGCGAAACTCACTAATAACAGATATAAATCGCCTCTGATAATATTCGAGATGCAATATATAATTTGGTCGTGCCAATTAATGTCAGATGTGAGTGCAGAGCTTTTAACTCTTATCTTATAAACTTTTACGTAGCAAACACCATCTGTGAAGGCTACCGATATGCTGACATTCCTCGTGTTGAGTGCTTTAAAAAATCATTGATGGACACATGCTTCGGAACGCCGGAATGAACAATTACACTTTTTTTTTAATTGCTCGAGACACATTTACACACTTAACATAGCTGGTACCCCTAATGCGATTATCACTATTACAATTCTCCTATATGCGTGTTTCTCATGAGCGAGAAATAAATCAAGCAACCACGAAGTCATGACATAGCGGACAAAGATACGTTGAACTTATCACACTTGCCGGTGCAATTTCCTCGTAAATTACTGTTTCGTGTTAAGCAAACCAAGTTAATCTTGTTAAATTAAATTCTAACTAAATAAAAATCTTAAACCTCTTTTAGATTTGATTATACTCTTTCATATTAGGAATGAATTTGTGCAATGTGTCAATACAAAATAAAATAAACGTTCAGATTTATAGAGGAATAAACGTTCTCTCGCACAAGGAAATTGTGATTTTAAATATTGGCAAGTATTTAATTATTATAGATATTATATAGTCCACTCAACGTAATTTCATCCACAATGTACCACATTTTAAGACCATCGAAGCTCGCTTTCGATACTCTTCTTCGGCGGACATTGTCCGACAAAGATCCTCCGTGGTTTCCGTCGTTGAAGACGACGAGGGACAGTTGGAAAAACGACAAACTCCCACTCGACACAATTTCCGCTCGCGATACAAAACACTCGGGGATGATAAAAATAAATAGCGCGCGCGTGCGCGGGATCCCTTGGTTACACGATTAGCTTAGCTCACGCGTTCTCACGTACACATACACGGTTTTGTTTTTTAAAAAATAGTAAAAAACAGTGACTAAGTGTTTTCGCGCATTTTTCCACGTCGCTCGGGAAATCCGCTTGTATCACTAATATTTACCCGCCCACTTACGATTCCTGGGCCCTTCTTCTTACCATTTCTCTCTCACGCTTTCTCTCCCCCTCCCAATAATAATAATATATCCGTTACTGTATACATACATATACATACATATATATATATTTATTTATTCACTTTTTTATTTATAAAAATAACGTTCTGGGACTAAAACGCAACGTTCCAAAGCGGCGCGCGACGAGGAGCTGCCACGTACGACTGATAAAGGCGCTCCAGCCATTGCCCCTCGATTTCTCCTTTGTTCTTCCCGCACGGGAGGAAATCTAATTTCCGGCCATCAGCGCCGAGAACACGCTCGTTATTTTCTCGTCGTAACACAACTCGGCGAAAACTCGCACGAGGAACGCACCGAATGTCAGGACGAAGCCTCGCGCAGAATCGGCTTCAGGCAGAATATAAGTAAGTAGCTTCCTTTAGGTGGACAAATAAAAAAGATAATGCCAGAACGGACGTTTGCGTTGCAGCAGTTTATATTAATCGACATGTATCCTGGTGTTCTATATTCTAAAAAAAAAAAATACTCGTATATAATTGGAATTAATTTTATAATAGCCAGTTTTGTTGAATTATTTCGAGTGAAGAAACGTTATAAGTTGAGTTTTTAAAAGTTTTAATAAGTTATTAATGGTCTCGGGTACATCATTCATTTTTGTCTCCTTTGATTAAAATTAATATAAAAAAATGGCCGCATAAATCATGTTACATCAATAAATATGTCAATAATATAGAAATATAAATATTTATAAAAATCAAGAAATATCAGAATAGCTTGTATTATGTTTTGATATATCATATTTACAGTACCTCTGTACCTGAGTTCCCATTTTGTAGATAAAAAAGTAATATTAGACTGTTATAATTCTTTGTAATTCTTAATATTTTACATAAAAAGTGAGAGGCAATTATTCTTAAGAACCGCGAAAAAATTTAAAAAAAATAAAATAAAATACTTAATCTTAAGCTGCGCATATGCCTGAAGCCGATTTATTCAAAACTCTTAAATAATTTACTTTCAAAATTTTATATAATGCGATTACCACGTTTGCCAGAAGGCGCTGAAATGAAGCAACGGATACCGTCACGTGTGATGAGACTGCTCCAGTTGTATTACTTTATGTCACAATATAAAAAAATATCCTCATTCATGAAAAAAAAAGAGAAAAAAACATCATTATTTGTTCATTGAATTCTGAGACTTTGGGTAAATTTCAATGCTTCTTTCGACGCGAAATTAATGTAATTGCTACAGCAATCTCACCTCAGATTAAGATACCGATTCCTTTATCGAGCCGTCGTCGATTCTGCGTAAGGATCGAGATACGGACAATGTCGGCTTGTCGACGATACCGGCGTATCGTTAACGATTCGGCCGGCGGCGATATGTCTAGATCTATGTTACAATGTCTGGCTTCTCTAGATTTCGGATCCGCGCCGATCATCTACGCCTGAAAAGCTTTTGCACCGCCGAATACTTTTTACGGTATGCAGACTCGGAAGTGGCCGGACAAGAAAACTGACTCGGCTCGTCCGTCGCATTGCGGCGATACGAGGATACAGACGTTAAACGGGTCATATCAAAGCCGCGGCTCGCCGTAACTAGATGCAAACGATACGTACGTCACGTTGTGATTTACACGCGGTTTACATTCGGCCACGGTGAGCCGCGTTTAATGCTACGATCAACACGACACCTAATATCGCCGGACGTGTGACGGCCGAGCCGTCGGGCTTGAATCCACTTACCGCATCTGAATATACCGGCTTACGATACGCGGTTTGTGTCGTGTCCCGCAACCCTCCCCGACCCGTTTACAATCGTGCGGCGGTGTGGCACGGGTCCGGGAAGGGTTGACGCAGATGTGCCGAGTATCGGCGATGCTCACCGTAATATTTCCTCCCCCGAAGTCCGCCGCGCGCGCGCGAGGATAGGATTCCGGATTCGATTCGATCTCGGTAACACTGTTGCTGGATGTTATTGCCGTGTATTAGATGAAATGATACCCGCAGAAACGACGCGCAGCACGTATGCTTCCTAATTCGATATCGACGAGACATTGCAAATTTTATGAAAAAAAAAACTGGAATCGATAATCAGCATACCTAGGAAGTTAAAAAATAAATATTTCCAGCATTTTCAATTTTTTTTTTTCTTTCATATAAGACGACCAATATACATGCAAAAAAAAAAAAGAAAACAGAAATAATATTCTTTCAATTAAAAAAATGTAAAAATAAACAAATACGAGCTATTTAAAGAACTAAATATAGCATTTATTAAAATAAATAAAGACTTAATTAATTTAATAAAATCGCAGCGGTGAAGATGTTGCGAGCACTTTAAATTCCAAATACTGAAATTTTTAGTATTTCTAAGAAGATGGCAAAGTTTTTGTAATAACGTAATATCTGTGCCAAACAGAAGTTAACATTAAATATCAATGCGTTGAATGACGTACGATAGATATCTTGCAAAAATTTCCACGAGCTGCTTTTCAACATCAACTAAGATAATAAAACTTTGGTTCGTTACGCTCGTATAAAATTTACAAAAACATCATGCTTAAACCCCGAATAAATCTCTTCGAAAGCCAATCTCCGCGCGGCTGCTTGCGGACTTCGCAAAAAAACTCCCGTCTTCATCAGGACTCGTTACGTTCTGATCTTCTATTCGCGCACGCGGTTCGCCGATTCCAAACGCCCGATCACGACTTAGCCTAAACGAGAGGTCCGCTACAATTGTGTTATACAGAGTCCGCGTCCGCGGTGGTACGCACTCACCCGCACATGTACACGGTATACCTTAAGAGAGACGGGGGGGCGTCTGTTGGACGATGTGACAGCCTTAGTTGGACGCTCACCGATCTCACACATCACTCTCTCACATTCTCTCTCACTCTCATCCTTTCTCTCCCTCCGTCTCGCTCGTCCGCGAGGAGACGTCCGATCGAATTTCCACCTGAACGGAGACAAGGGCGGCATTCCCTAGAACGCTCGCGATACGTCGATTATGGCTAAAACGCGACGATCTGCATCAAGACACCGTTGCGCTTACGCTTGAGCTAAAAAGCGGCACGTTCGTCTCCCGCGTGTCCTCTTCCCCGGCGCTCGGCTGGGAGTACGCCGATTATTTTCTTCAGGAACGAATCATCGATACCATCACCACCGTCACCCCCATCACCATCACGTAGTCCCGAAACCGTCCAGACGGTTCGCGCCATGCCGGGAGATCGGCGATACCGTCTCCCAGGAAAGTCCGTCGTTCCTGCGCGAGGGAGACGAGGAAGGTTCCCCGGCCTGGGTCCTCGTTGTCGGGACCTAACACTCGCTGTAGGACGGTGGCGGCATTCCGCGACCCGTGTACATGTCCGTCTGCGGCTGCAGGTGACAAACGACGGTGTGCCCGTCCAGCACGGCCACCGTCCGCGTGTGGTCCTGCTGCGGCGGCATGCCGTACGCCGCCGGCAACCGCGGCAGATCACCGAGCTCATACCTGGCCTGCTGCCGGCGCAGCTTCTCCCAACAGGCGTTCAGGGTCCGCTCTACGGCCGGCCCGTACTCCGTCGAGTCGGCGTAGTGCGCGAGATTACCGCCGCCCTGCCCGGGACCGCCGCCGCCGCCGCCGCGCTCCGTCATCGCCTGACCGTAGTGCACCAGGTTGCGATCGGCGGCGGGCGAGTACGGGATCAGAGGCCGGTGGTCGCCGTAACTCCTGGAGGACTGCCTGCTCATATCGCTCTGTCGACGGCCGTCCTCGTCGGACATGTCCGACACCTGGATCTCGCCGGCGCCGACGATGCCGCCGATGCCGCTGCCGATGCCGATGCCGCCGTTGTTGCTACCGTTGTTGCCGCCGACGCCAACACCACCGCCGCCGCCGCCGCCACGCTCGATCTCCTCGTACACCGGATCGTCCTCGTTGGCGAGGCCGCGCGGCAGGTGCACGTGTTGTCCGTGGTGACCGTGAAGCTGATGATGCCCGGCGACCCCGCCGTTGCCGCGACCGTCCACGATCTCCGTATACGTGTGGTTGTACGGCATCGCGGCGCGTCTACCGCCGATCGTCCTGGTGCCGGTGTTCATCTCGCCGGCGTCGTTCGGCCCGCGTCTCCTGCCGGAGTGGCCGAGCGTCAGGGTGTTGTGCGTCCTCGGGGAGTCCTCCTGCTCGGAGCCGCCGTGTCCGGAGTCGCGGGAGTAGGACTTAAAAGAAATGTTCTGCGGAGAGAGAGTTAATGGTTGATGTTAGAAAAATAGGCCAATGTACGTAGAAAGAGGCGGGTGGGATACACTTTCACGTCCATTGAATTCTTTGTTGACACAAATACGTTGAAATGATCATTTTTATATGATTTTTAGAAATATAAGACATTCACGCGCAAACGACAGCAATGCATACCTGATAATAAGTGTTGAACATGAGCTATATGTCTCAGATAAACGAAAATAATATTTATGAGTGAATAATAAATATATTATACATAAAAAATAAAAGATAAAAATTAATAGCTTTAAAAATTATATAAAAAAATAATTCAATAATTTATCACTATACCTGACACTATTAATCATTCAAACGTATAGGATTACCGAACGCAAAAGTGTTAAATTTATGAAACTCACGAGGATATTTTGCACAATTGAGCCATTTTTATTTCATCGATCATCACTCGATCGATGGATTAATCAAAGAATGTTGAAGATATCTCTTCAAATATTAGCGTTTAATATTTATATAATAAAAAATAGCGCTACTTTCAAATGAAACGGCTCAATTGATGATCGCGCATGCATGAGAGGAAAGACGAGCGAGAAAGTTCCACTCGCATTACACGAGGACCGTATTTCACGGTTAATCATCCTCCTCTCTTCATTGTGCAGCCAAAAAAAATTAAAACAACACGTAACATAAACCAAGGCACACAAGATGAGCTACACACAATTCATGACAGGATAAATGGAGCACTGTGTTCTGATATAAAACGTCATAACCGTGTATTCACATTTGTTCCCGTGCGCCGGACGCGCATTAGAATATGAAAAAAAAAAGAGAAAGGGGCAGGGGCAGGTATACCGGAAGAGCGACATGGCTTATTCCATAACATCTCCGTCTCTTTTGGCTTTACTTCAGCCGGCGCTCATCAATCACCGCGTTTTGCTGTATCGGGCTAACTTAACGAGCATCGCTAAAAGTAAAAATATAAAAACGAAGTACAACAGTACTTCAGTGCGTTTAACAAAAGAGTTCAAGATTAAGAACGAAACAGTCTTACATTAAATATATGTCCATTAAATAAGTCTCTTTCCTTTGCAACAAAAGACATAAAAGGAGTTAATTTCAATAATTTATGAGATTTTATTACTTACATTGTATCTTGTAAATAAAGTAAAAAAGTTAAATCGTTTTCAAATATCATGATATAATTCTTTCTTTGTATTCAACGAACAAGTATCATCATTCTGTAACTCAAAGGTAAAAGGATAAGATAATTCATATTTGGATAGAAAATCTGTTTCGTCTTACTAAATTACAGAAAAACGTCGCTTGTTTCAGTCCCATTAATATATAACCGAAAAAGATTGGGGAGATATTTCAAACGGAGGATTATGGCGCAAGCTATGTCGCAAACGTGAAAAATAATCTCACTTTACACGTCGCCAAAGTGTGTCTCCGCACCTACATGCTCAATATTCGGATCAGGTTCACTCCTAGGATGCTCTCTAAATATTTTCGAGTGAAAATTTGACTCTTGGCTTGAGTGAATGCACTATCAACTCTTCACAGAGTGACTTTACACTTATTTTCACTCGATTCGAGTGAAATCTGTGACTCGAACTATAAAGTGAAAATAATCTTAATTATTCTCTCGAAGTGTCGGAGTGAATTGTGGTACGCTGGTTCCGAGCAACTCGGGTCGAGTGAAAATTTACTTGAACCGAATGGCTCAGTTGCGTAGCCCGCGCAAGAGACGTGCCATGTTACAATGTCGGGCTTACGTGATGTATATTTGTGTTTATACCTAAAGATTTCGAAGAATTGTGGATATTAGTGCGTGGATTTTGTGAATATCGTGTTAAAAGACGAACATGTTTCCTAAGGTTGATATAACCTCACCACACGACATTTCTATCTATTATTTTCGAACGTTGATTTAGGTTAATTTGCTAAGGCCTCCCATAAAACCGTCCGTCGCCGCCGACGACGAGGGTGCAGCCGGTCAGCTGATCGCCCGGGCATCCAGTATCGCCTGCACGAAGTTGTCCGTGTAGTGTTGCTGAAAGACCTTGACGGCCTTCCACAGACCCGAGATGCCCGGCTTCTGACCCTCGTACACCCGGGTGCTCACCGTCAGGCTCGTCACCGACGTCGCGGTCATGCTTGCACGGTGGTGATTCCGCGGGCACAGATCGTAGCCGCGACGGCTTCGCGACGCCTCCCCGTGGATGGGATCGTCGTGCATCGTGTCCTGATACCGACGAAGAGCCTCCTCCTCGCGTGCGACCGCATTGCAACTCACGGCTTCCCGATTCGTTTTTCCTTAAACTAACTATTAGTTAGTTTACCAATAGGTTGGAACAACTGGGCCTTAGCAAATTAACCTAACCAACGTTTTAAAATAACAGGTAGAAATGCTATGTGGTGAGTCTTAGGAAACATGTTCGCCTTTTAAGTAAAACTTTACTCTAAGAACGAGCGAACAGCAAAATCAGACACCTGAAGAAGGCACTCTGATCGAGTGCAAGTTTTCACTCAAATACACGAGTCAAATTTCGCTCGAGCGCGCGAGTGATCTAATCACTCGACAAATCGAGTCAATATTCACTCAATAAGATATGTTCCATTTTCACTCTTTGCTCGAGTAAATTTCCACTCGATTAGAGTGATATTTCACTCGAAAAAATTTAGAGAGTGCGTAAGGGTGACTAGGTGCTGTGCATGAGTGAAAATTAATACCGCACACCATGCAGAAATAAAAGAGAGAGAGAGAAAGAGAGACCAAAAGACACACGGTGTACCGGAGACGGCTCTAGTTTTAGCAAAACTTTCGCAGCAAAAATATTACTTATAGGTACTATATACTCAACAACCAAGATTTTTTAAATTGAAATTTAGTTCAGCGAGATCTTTATATTTCCGTAAATGTTAAGGTGATACTTAGCAAAACCCAAAAGACTAAATGCTCGCGGATACGAGGATAGTGATTTTCGAGGTATCTGCAAACGCGCGGACTATATATACTCAATTAGTGTACATACTTCTCACAAATATTACAAGATCCTCGCAAATACAAAGACCGTAGTTTGGCTCTTGCAAACGCAAACTGCTTGCCAACGTGAAGATCGTACTTAGGATATCATCAATGCGGAAACAGCGGTTTAGCAAATCCTTGCAAACGTACGGATCATGATATCAGTGAGATATCCGTAAATGGCGAAGCTATGATTTTGAAACGCCGTAGTTCGACGCTGTTAGACTTTTGCATACATTGTTCAAAAGTAAGGAGACTATCATTTAAACAATTTAAAGCAACAATGAATTTTTACCTTAAATTATAACAAATTTTTAATTATTTTAATAATTTAAATAACATAATTGCAATCTGTTAATGTCTGACTTACACGTGCATTTAATAAAAGTACTTTTAACCCAAGATGAAATAATACTAAAGTTTAAACAATCGCAAAGTTCGTCTTACGTTAGAGCCGCCCCCCCCCCCCCCCCGAAGTTGAGAAACACATCGTGCGAATTTAGCGGTGAATTAGTTACCTTCCACATGAGGTTTTTGTTAAGGTGGCCCCAAGTGGCAGTGGCAGATTTGGGGATATTGGGAGCTGAGGGTAAGAAGGCGTGACGTGCGTACGGCAGGGTGGCCACGATGTGAGCCTCGGTCGAGGCAGGTTCACCCGGCACCGTTACTGCCGGCTGCCTATCGACTATCGCCCAGCTTCGACCGGATACCAAATACTGCAAAAGCAACCAATCCGCCATTCCCTCTTAACCCTTCGTTTACTGATGGGCGGCAAGGCCAGCCCTGTCAGTGTCGCTCGTGATTCAGTGTATATACGTGTATCAATGGATGGATTAGTCTCTGGATAATTATCCCATGCGTGATCACCGACCGAAAAATCGAGTTGTATTATTAAATAATTAGATTATATATGAAATATATTTGCGTAGATTCAATGCAGATGATTCGGGTCAGTAAACAAAGGGTTTCTCAGCTAACAATTGCATTGATTTTGGGAAACAATTCCGCTTCACTAGAATTGTAGAAGAAGATATATTGGATAACTATGCCGTGATGTAAATATCACAGATTAAAGAATTGAAGAATATGCTATTTCTTTGGGAGAACTTGGACAGAATTAATATCTCTTTTTTGTTTCAATCTTTCCAACCCTGTGCGACTCTAATCAAAAGAATGTACGTTATTTTTTATATTTTAGAAAAAAAATGATTTAATTTTTAATTATCAAAATATGAAATATTAGACATTAAAGAATTATATTTAACGCTAGCTTCAATTAACCCTTATTTGCCACACTGGGATCAAATCAACCCCACGACCATATTCCCTTAATTTTAAGTACCGAAACCTATGGGGAGCGGGTCTATAGCGACATCTGTCAATAGTTTGAATAATGAATTTCTTTGTAAAAACAGCCATTTTTTCATTTTTCTTTTACTATTTTAATTTTTTTATTATACATAATTTTAATTTTTGGCTATATAACCTACATAACTTTTAAAAGTAAGCTTTTAAGAAGTTCTAAAAAAATTGGCAAGTTAAAATATTGAATAGCTTATTTGTTATAACAATTTTTGTCGCTGGGGTAGATTCCACCCCAATGTGGCAAGTACGTGACGTCTACAAAAGTGTAGCAAGTAAGGGTTAACAAAAAATATGGCTATATTTTTGTCCGTAAATACACCGTAATCCAAATTGAAATCACCGGGACGAGAGAACACCTTAAGCCTCTCGATCGATGAAGCAACGGGACAAAAGAGAGACCTCGTGCGCCAATTAGGATACATAATTGTGTGGATACGGGGCGCGTAGATCTCGTGCGACATGAGTAGACACGAGGGAGATATGCGGCGCTGTATACATCCAGCATTCCAACGATATCTCGGCTACCTCGGCGTGCGGTACCGGAAGCGGAACGGATTTAACTCGTGCGGGAGCAAATCTACGACGTAGCGCTCTGAGATACGCGACGTCGACACGCACGCTGAAGGATTCTCCCCGGACACATCGCGGGGGCCTCTCTCCCTCCGCCCTTCGGCGGGACGAGAGTCTGTTGCGCAAGAACGACACGTGATTGCACCTGTTTCGAGACTCTATAGGGACGGGTCACGCGACCGCTACAGCCGGACTTCCGGTCCGAACGAAACCTACGACCTACGGTTCTGACACAAGTCGAGAAAGAGTGCCGGACGATGCCTTTCGCTTGACAATGACTCGTCTTCAAAGAAAATGGCGAAGTTCATTTAGACTGAAAGATCTTCAAGACAAGAAAAAGTCAAAGAAGCTCTTCACACTCAGGGAATTAAATCATCTGATGAATTGATGGGCATTCCGATTTAAGAAGTTGATTCGAGAGATAGTAAGTTAAAGTTTTTAAAAGGTATAAATGTGTTAAGTTTAGTTGGGTTGTTTCATACTAAACTTTTTAATCCACATGATTTTCGGCAACTAAATAGTCGCCAATCATCTAAGAATCGTCTTTATACTTTACCTCGTCGCGTGGATACGCGGTTTGGCGTTAATCAGCGAAACGCATCCAACGATAAGGATAAAGAGAAAGAGAGAAAGAGCGAAAGTGGCCGGTGAATGAGCATGTGTGATGCGGTGAAGGTGTGACAAATGTAACGGATTTGTTCGCGCGGATTTTCCTCGCCCGTACCTCTCCTTTTTTTCCCTTCATTTTCCATTAAGTGACTGATCGTGTGGGTGAGTGCCTGAGCGAGCATTTGAGCGCCTTTTAATCCTTCACACTTGAAACATCAATCCGATTACCGATTCTTTGTTGCTTTCATTATTACCACAATTAATCCAATTTTTATAAAATTTATATAAAGTTTATCTACTAAATTTATCGTTTGCGTCCTCATAAGATCACTTTTCAACAATACAATAATAAAAAGACATTATTTTTTAATGATAAAGATAAATATACGAATTTTCCCTTTCTAGTAACAAGCTGCTGAATAATTTTGCTCGCTCAAGTTGCGATACATAAATGCATTAACAAATATAATTTTGTAACACTCTGTGTCAATCGGTAATATGACAAGTGCAAAGGGTTAAACGTACGTTTCTCAGCGTGTGAAACATGTCGGCAAGTTCGACGGGAAACGCAAAAAATTTCCGTGCAAACCGGTATAGCACGTTCCAAGTGCAATGTAATAATAGTTATGCGCGAGCGTTCACATTTTCGAGAAAGCGTTTTCCATCGATCGCCTGTTCATGAGAGGGAAAAAAAACCACTTAATTACTCGAAGCGCGTTCAGGCGGAATACGGAAGTGCCATGGAGTGCAAGAGAACAAAACGACGTGAAATGCGACGTGTAAGTGCTTGCATAGAGTGCATCCCTTCGTACTCCGCCCTTCGCGTGTCCAGTTAGAATTAGGTCCGCTGGTACATTACGAATCTTTCTAAACGTATACCTTCCCCATCGCCGACGGAAGTTCGTTTGTTTAAACTCCTTCGTCGTGAAAGGGCGATCTGGTTGACAATGCGAATAAAGTAGCGTGGATAATTACTAAAATTAAAATAAGGTTTTATACAGGGTTGTCGCGACAAGTATCAACAGTCTCTTATTATTTTGTTCTTTACTTCTGTCACAACTTTTTATATTTTACAAGAAATTATATTTTATCAATCTTTAAATTATGCAGAAATTGCGTCTCTGCCAATATTTTAAATGAAAAATTTATATGTTGTATAATAAATTGATAAAATAATTTTCTTAAGACTACATAAGTGAGATTGATTATGACAGTAATTTGCTTCGAATATTGCAACTGTAATAAATGAGTAATCATCAACTTGCTGATCAAATAAAATTCATCTGATATATCAAATATGATGAGCAAAAGGGTTAACAGAAGGCAATACAAAGGAGACGCAATTACGAGAACAATCGTGAATCATGATTGCACGGTTGTATCTGATTAATCTGATGTTACGAGATTCCACGCACGTTCGAAATTATTTCTATTATGATTAGAAGAAAGGCAGTAACTGACAAGTAAAACATATATTTTCTCAGTTCTGTTCATCATGTTGTAGTGCAATGATGATTTTAGCGATATGTTTTTACAGTTAAATTAAAAAAGAGCATGATTTATTTAATAAATCAAATTAGTCAAATTAGTTAAATTAATCCTAAATAAGTTAAAAAATTAAGAAATATGACTAAAAATTTCGAGTTAATATTCTGTTAATAACAGTGTATTATATTTGAAGACATTATTCAGTGTAAAAATTTAAATTTGTTTATTAATATTTAACTTTTATTTAACATGACTTACCAGATTACTTCAACTGTAACTGCAGGTAAAATTCCCTGTGTAAAATACTCGTTTCGGCAAAATTATATCACTTACTGCCTTTTACTTCGTCACAGATTTCATTGACGATCCGGTAGGTCTGAAATAAACGACGAATCGCGCGAAATCGCGCTCTTCGTAGTGAGAAAGGGAGCGGGCCGGGGCATAAGAGGATACAAAGTAGCCAGCAACCGCATTACACCAAACCCCCGAAGCCAGATAAGAAGCACGGAAATCACCACTGTTAGTAGGAAGTCTTGCGGGCGAGCGTGCTCGCGAGAGTGCGAATTCGAATGTTCGTGCTGTGCCTGCCTTCCGCGCGTTATTTACAAAATGGGGTCGTCGAGCATTATCAAATCGATAATCCGGAAACGACATCTCTTCAGTCGAATTTGCTTGTAAAAAGATAAACGTCTACTTTTTTCTTTCCTTCCTTCAAAATTTATAAATTCTTTACAGAAAAATTGTTTTTAACTAACTCTTTTGCGAAGTAAAACTACACCACTGAATGACATTTAATTGTGATAAAGAAAATGACATGACAAGTTTTAGAAAATAAAAATAAAAGTTTAATTATTAAAATAAAAAATATGGAAGTGTTTTTCCGTTATTAATTTGACACAATACTGATCAATGCAATAATTGTAAATATGACAAATTTATTTATACATTTCTAGACAATTTGCGATTAATTGAGCTGATGAGCAATACGTTTTCATTTATTCAGGCTGTTTAAAATTCCGGTTACTTGTAATAATTTAGTGTTCAAGATCCTCGAGAGATTGTCGTTATCTCTTACTTGATATCTTAAATAAAGAATGCCGGATAATACTGAGAGACATTTTCTTAATTGGAAGTATAATAGGGTCGTGATCGTATTAACAAGGCGCTCGAATTAAAGTGCTATCAAGAAGAAACACCGAGTTTCACTTATTCCTTTAACGAGCGCAAAATAATATACGAGCTGTACTAAATAATGGCCTACTTAAATAATTTTTACACTAAAGTCATTATTTGGAATAATCCATCGAGAGAAGCTAATCGCAAAGGAGAAATGCAAATATAATTAGAGAAAGAAAACATTATATACAGATTTTATTTTTTCAAGTCTCGAACTTATTTGTTTGCCAAAATTTAAAGATAGATATAAGTTTAAATACGAAATAATTTAATACTAATAATTGAAGAGCATTACATCAAAATTAACTCTACGTTGTAAATAAAATACTACAAAGCAATTTTATTTTGAAATAAGCATTTAATATTTATAAATTTTTTTAAAACTGAATTTATGAAATTTTTGGTATTTTCAATCATTTTTAACATTAGTTTCCCTATGAGTGACGTTTTCCTACAAACTGTCCTATAACAGCATACACGAGAACGTTCAACAATCTCTCTTTCGAATACATTTTTTGTTTCGCTAGTTTCTCTGTCTCTCTCTCTCTCTCTTTTTCTCACTCTATTTGTGTCGGCCAATTCTCTTGGATTCTCTGAGCGCGACAAGGTCGAAAGAGCTGAACGGTTCGTTAAATGCCTTTTAGTTCGCCGTTTCGCGAGTCAGTTTTTGAAGTGACTTGCTGATAACGCCAAAAAAAGCTTTCAGGTTCATGTCGGTTTCGAGCGTTAAAGCCGAATGTACACTTAACATTATTAATAAACATACACTTTCAGAAAGTAACAGCCTGACATATTCATGGAAAATTTAAACCTTTGTAAATTAATCTATAATATACACAAATTTTACTTTAAAAGAATAAAATTGTTAATTGTACAGTTGTAACCGTAGCAATTCTATATACATATTAATACAAAAATTTAGAAGTAAAAATAAACGCCTATTGAAAAGTTCTACTATTGCAAATAATTCGTAGGAAAAAAATCCATGAGCATACGCTATGCTTTATCTGTAAAAATAATAAAATAAACTAGCAGGACCGCCTGCCTTATATACATGCTGCAACAAATTTAATATAATACATTAAGAAAAGAAAAAAAATCTCCAAATAAAATTCGATTGTCCGATTGTTAAATTGAATACATAAGCATGGGAACTAAGTAACTACGTTTAGCGTTAAATGCGTGACAAACCAAGGTCTATTTATACGCACTGAAAGAGAATCAAGAGAGATAGACAGAAACTGTAATTCACGCGACGACGATTAATCGAAGGGGCAAGTTTGAAGGAAGGCAGGCTGGAGTTCTGAGCAACAGGCAAAAAGTCAACGGTGATAATTAATTATAGACGGATCATACTTGTGTGTTACTCGTAATCATACTAAAAAGGAATAGAGCGAGTAAAGAATATACAGAAAAAAGAAAGAGACAGAGAGAAATGCAATTTATCGATACTCGGAAGTTATCTTGATCCTATGAGATCATGTACACGTTGACATATATGCTAGTCTGACTTCCGATATACAATATCAGAAAACGACTTTGATTGATACACTTCATGAGATTGATCAAGTATTGCACCGTCATTATTATATTGTAAAAAAAAGAGGGGGAGAAGAAGACGCACGTTCCCCTTTCGGACTCCTACAATTCCAATCTTTTCGGCTGCTCCACGGATAAAGCACAGTAACCAATGTTCTTATGAAAATTAAAATGCCTTAATTTTTGCAAATACTGCGTCGTTCTGTATTATATTATCAGTTTGCATCTTATTACAAGTAAAGAAGGGAAACGACAAATCAAGAGCTAGTTTGATCAAAACAACAGTATCTGCAAAAGTTACGAACATAATACGAGACTATAATAGACCTCTCGATTTTCATAAGCAATATCGATAACTGCGATCCCGCGGAGCGAGCACTCCACTTCGCTTCGGTGTGTCTCGGTTTGGTGTATAAGCGGCGTTTGGATACCTTGCTGAGCGGGATGCCTATTGTGGTTGCTAGGTGCCATCATGTGCATCTGGTGTGCCCCGACCGGCGATCTCAGCGACAAATTGTTCAGGTTCACGTTTATCGAAAGATTCGTATTGTTACAGGCGGCGGTCAGGTTGTTGTGATTGTTCGGTGATGTGGTGCCGACGTTGGTACCCACATTGGTGGCTGCGTGAGGCGACAGTCCGGAACTGTCGGTGGTAGGGGCCGAGGGGTTCGACGACGTGTTGTGCGAGGCAAAGTCCTTGCCGCCGTTGGCGCCGGCGGTGCCGCCGCTGCCGCCGGTGGAGCCGGCCGAGCCGCCCGTCACCGTCTTCGAGCACCTCAGGCACTTCGGCAGCCAGGAATGACGGCGCACGAACTTCCGGTACTCCTTCCTCACCTGCAAGAGCGAAGCAGAGCCCGCCCGACCCAACGAAACGAGTTTAACGGTGCGAGAAAAAACTAAAGGCCTGTGCGAGACAGCGTGCGGATGCGATGTGTGCATTTTCTGCGAGTCTGATACATGGAGATTGCAGACCGCAGGGCTGCAGACGGCCTCGACTAAATAATCGTGGTATATGCGAGTAAAATAATCATTAAAAAAAAAATAATAAGTAGATAAAAACATTGCGCTTCTTTTTTCATTTTATTCAGTTAGCGTCTTTTGTCACCTTTAAGCAAAGTTAAAAGGCCGTCTGCGACTTTTTGTGAGAATGTTGTGCAATTTGAGTTTGCAGGCTCGAAACTCTAGTGCCGATTTAACGAGAAATAAAAATAATATCGGTGCTCTTCTCGCGATGATAAACAAAACAGTTCTCAAATTCTCGAAGAAATTATAATGAGCCCACTATGGGTGGCGAAAGTAACGCGAAATAAACGCCAGTAACTTGTATTGCGCTTTATTAGACTTTATTGTACAGCGCTTTATTAGACAGATCATTTTCTCATCTCCATGTTCTGATTTTTATGAGCAAAACAATACGATGTTAACATGATTATTGTTCCAGCAATCTTAAATAGTATTAATCGTGATCGGCATGTTAAACTTAAGTGCTAGAAAGTTCTTCAAATTTTAAGTTAATATAAAAATTGATACATAAGTGAGAATAATTTATAAAAAAAAAATGTTACAACTCACTGTCTCTCTAAAGAAATATAAAGTTTACACAGTTTTCCAGGCAACGATGTAACATTCTATTACAAATCATTCGTAAAAAATATGCAATAAAATTGACTGGGATCTTACAAAAGACGTGTATCGATGCGAAATTAAGTACGTTCTTATAAAAAAATTGCACTGGGATTGCTCTTAAGTAAAAATTATTACATATTTTACGAACAACTCCAATTTTTGTTGTTTGTATTTCTCTCTCTCCGGGAACATCCGGGCGATGTTGCCGGAATGGTTTAAATCAAGGCGGACTTCTGTGCCCCGACGTATTCCCTTACCTTCTCGTTCTGTACGCAATGGAACACAAAGATAAACAGCCCCTGGAGACTGTTCAATACGGTGAAGATGTACGCCATCACGACGGATTCTTGGTTTAAGTAGAGAAGCCCGAACGTCCAGGTCAGACCTAGTAGAAACACCAGCACGATAGCGCCTCGCAGCCAGGCCCTGATCAGAAGATACAGAATAATAAATTACAACCGGAGAACAGCTAGCCAAGTTTCTGTTGTACAATACAAATCGCGATGGCGGCGCTTAAAGGGGACCAACGTATCATCGGGTGGACGCTCCGATGGAACGTGATTTTTTTCAGATGAAACGAAATCTCGTAAAGTATCATATCTCCTCGAAGGAAACCTCGGATCGATTGTACTATTTAAGTTCGCCTTTAGCGGCTTAATAAAATTTGACATTGAAACTGACACGTGGATTCAATATTCTTTGATAAAAATAAGGAGATATTTTCTGCAGCTCGAAGGACGAATGAAGAAAATGTCATTGGTACAAACACGATAACTTTATGGATTTCCAATTTGCAACACTGTATTCATTATAACTGATCGCTGATTGAAGGTATAATTGTAACATCACAATCAACTAATTTTAGAAAATGTCTACATAAAGAGAAAAAATGTTATTCATTAATTTTATTTTAAATAGCTGCAGTAATTTCCATTTTCTTTTCCTAAATTATTCGCTACTCGTGAAAAAAAGAACATAAAGATAATTGCAGCCGATCCCAGGCTTCCTCAATTGATCGCAAAACAGTTTTAATGCTTGACATTACGACGTCGAACGGAAAAAAATAGCGCAATTGTCACGTAGCGTCGTGAGACACGCGAAGGTTTGTCGACGGCGACGTTTAAACATTGCGACATTATGCTGAATAGGAGTTTTTACTTTTACAAGCAACGCGAACGCCGCTTTGAGCGTCGCCAGAATCGCGGCGTTTTATCTAAATCGTTATATGATATTAGAACGTGTGACGTTACACAGGTAAGCGGATATATCTCTACGGTACTTCCACGTCTATCTACTTGTAAATCAGGCGTAATACCCGAAACTAAGGAGAATACTACATGCAGTGAATTATCGTGTCTACTCACAGGAAATGCAAGTGTAATAAATACAACAAGTGTTGTGCTTATTATATAACCTGTAGCAAAATAGTAATTTCAGTTACTATAGAAACATCATGAGTTTACATAAAAATTTTGCTTGCAACAGACAGTTGAAAAATATAGAAAAAGTGCCAATCATCTTGGGCAAAAAACATTTTATTCGAGAGATAAAATTAAATTATTTATTATAAAATTATATATTAAAATTAATTATAATATCGCGGTCAATTATAATTACCAGAATATTCTTTCTACGACATAAATAAGCGATGAAGCATGATTAAAATAAACACAGATATTTAAATTATTAGATAAGCAATATTATTATAATTAACTAAAGGAATATTATTATAATTAACTAAAGAAATAAAAATGTATTATACTTTTTTGGAAATTTAATTCTCACACAAATAAAATTGCTGTCTTTTATTATAACATATTAAATTAATTCCAGAATGATATATATTAAAATTAAAATTCAGATTTTAAAACTTCTATATATTTGTAAAATTAGATTATTCTATTATAAATATTAATAACCTAAAAATGTATGAAGTTTAATGCTGTAAACTAGTTAGCTCTTATATATTTATTCTTTCAACCAATGTATTAATTATAATATGCACATAAACGTATTGGCGTTTTAAATCGCGCTTCCTATGAGTGTTACGATATCACGTTGTGGTGAGTGTTTTGATGTATGATGTGAGAGACTAAAGTCTACGGCTACGTTCACAAAAATCAGTATGAAATGATACTCGAATAGCTTAGTCGAAATGAAATGGACACAAAAAACAGGATGATATCAAATGAAACGAGCGAGATGGCGATTAATGAGACGATGTTAACGGTATGACTGGTGAGTAATAATAAAAATGGTAAATATCTTACAAGTGCGCTTGCAATTTGTTGGGAAGAGCATTCTCTTCCTTTCCACTACCAACCAACCACGCCATGCAGAAGAATGTAGAACAGTGTAGACAGAAGTGGGTAGAAGATTTAATACAAAAATGAAACAAGACAGCAGTTAGGTGATTGTTCCGGCACCATTAATTAATTGATTATAACTTATTCTCTGATTTGCAATGCTCGATTCGCATTACTTTTTGCCGAGCGCGCTGAAGCACAGCGTTTTTGCTCAACAATCACAAAAATGGTTGACACAATTAGTTATGTAAACAAAGAAATACATAGCGACAGCAATATTTTAGCACCTGTCATCGCGAAAAATATTATCTGTAATAATCCGAATCGGGATTGCAACAACTTTTTCACTACCATCACCAAATTATTTACGTATTTTCACAATTTCATAAAAATCTAGAGATTTATACTTTTTTATAATAGTTTCACACAAATTAACTATTGACTATGCCTCCGTTTACAAGATCTGTAAATTAAATGTGATAGTATACAGGGTGTTCCCCTGAAACGTTTCCAAAAAAAAGATACATAAATTAATATACATTTTTACACATTTACCCTATTTTATATTATTTTCTATAAAGTTAACAATCTACAGATATAATTTGAAAAATTTAAAATCTATGGAATCTAATAACAAAATAATAACAAAGTAACAAAAAGTTAATATCCACAGGTTGAAAAATTTCACACTTTGCAACATTTTTAAAGCATTTAAAGATTATTATTAAAATTTGCTTAAAATATTTTTTGGTGACACTCTGTCGCGAGACATAGAATTTCCAAAAGCAAGAATTAAGATGTGAAATTCAAGAATTTTGCAAAACAAATAATTTACAGAGTAATCTAAATAAAAAATAACTTTAGCAAGCTATCTTGACGGTGTTTTTTTAAACACTTGGAAACACTATGGCGCACCCTGCATATGTTTACAAATCTTTTTACAATCTGTGTAATCGAATGATATACTCGTGTATATCCTAGGTATATCACAGCAATACAGTGGTGTGTCGAACGAACGAAATCTGCGGTTCATTCCAAACATAGGACTCAAAACCAAAACCAAAAAATCAGCATGGCCGCCAAAAGATGCGTGACAACAAGATCCGCGTTCGAGAGATCTCTTTAAGCAAGTAAAGCTTGCGAACGTGTAAACCGAAAGCACCAAACAAACATCTCGATTGCTACTCTTCGACGGGAGGATCAAATCTCGAACGTGACGAACAACGGACTGGCAGTTGACTGGTACACGGTATATACAGTTTGCAATTTATATGATTTACTAAAAAAAAAAGAGAGAAACTACTAGGGACCGCTGTGCTTACCTTGCGCTAGCCAATCGGGAATGTTCCTTGCTTTTCATGGCCACAGTGGTGTTCGCATGCCGGCACATCATATAGATCGCCATCGATAGAAATACAAGATTTGCCTGCAAGAGATGACGTTAAAATCAATTACGTTGCACTTTGAATATCACTGTTATAAAGTTGAAAAGAAAATATCATGCCATGAAGCGAGTGATAAGATATATCTTATATCGCCAATACTGATTTTTTCCTAATTAATGGTTTAGTCGATAAAGTATCGGACAATTACCAGTATAACAAGTATCACAGGTCCGACGAAGCTGAAGATGAAATAATTATCCGCGCGTAGCCAGCAGTACCGATCGGTACCGTAGCTGAGTGGATCGATTATGCACGAAATTGCTACGACCAGCAACGGTGCGCCATACGCGACCAGATAGTACCACCGAAGCCGCGATTTTTCCGCTTCGAATACCTCGATCAGCATCACATACAACTGGAATCCTGTAACGTAATGTGAGATCATGTATAAAAAATATATAATTTTTATAAAATAATAAAACATTGCAAATTATATGATATAAATAAAAAGTTGGCCGAGTTAGGGTTGTAAAAGTAAGTAAAGATTGACTTAAAAAAAATTGACTTACCTTCGAGGAACATCCAAGCAAACGCGCATAAGAAGAAGAAGTGCAGCAAGCCGGCGACGATGCCGCAGACAATCCTTTGATTAGTTTGGCCGATCCCGCAAACAAAGAGTACCTCGGCAATCAGTAGGCACACGCAGAGATTCTTGTGGATCGTCGTCCTGTCCGACTGCAAATCAGGGATCAGGGGGAGAGTGACAAAAAATTCCATTTCGTCGCGATTGAATGCCGATCGATCGGCGCGGCGCCCGGCGCGGCCGCGCAGTTATATACATTACCTTCAGTCCGCGAAATAATTGAAACGTGAGAATGGCCAGGACGAGGCAGACGACGGAAATGATGCAGCCTATATACGTGATGATCTGCAGGGCGACCTGATGGGCGATGTCCAGCCTGACGGCGTGCACGTCCATCAGCACGGCGAAGTTCGTCAGGTGATTGCATTCGCATATGGTGTGAGTTTCGTTGGTCTTTTGTAGCTGGCATCCCTCGTCCGACCAAGCGCTGTGGGAAATAAGGTATCGCGTGAAGAGGAGATAGTCGTTGTTTATGTTATTTGTTACTTTTCCATCGGATGTACAGGCGTCAAAAGCTACGCGAGGATAGTTTCAATTATAGGTTTTTCGGCTGTATACAGCCAGGATATATAATAATAAATAAATAAGTATAATATAATAAATATATAACATTTATTATATTATATATCTAGAATTCACAATTAGTTCTAAAATATACCTATGTGTGTGTATGTATGTTTGTATGATTGCATGTATTGTGGAATTGAGTTTTTCGTTCTTATAAAAAATTTTTAGAAGGTTGCAATTAAAAATTAAGAAAATTTCGAAAATAAAAATTAAAAAATGTTATTCTGCAATCAATTTTAAGTAATTTTTAATACTATACTTTAATTAAAAGTAAATCTTTTTATTAAATACCGAATTTGTATAGGATATCGAATCTCTATAATTGAGTTTGAATGAAAAAACTTCACGGATTAAATAATAACAAATATACTTCCTATTTCCGCGAATTGTGGCGAGTGTTGTATATAGCGCAACGGAAGTACCAGGAAGAGAAAATTGAAAATGAAGAAATAAGAGAAAAGACTCCTCGGCACTTTTAGTATTGTACGAGGTGGAAATAGGATCGGGCGAGGGCGAAATTACCTCAAGATGTAATCCCAGAAGACGCAAGTGGGGTTGGTGACGTTCTCAACCGCCAGATGTCTGAAATACACCCGAACGGGTTCCGAGAGCTGTATGTGCCGGCCTTTTCCCAAGGACGCCGAGATAACTTTGCTGTTGAGGAGACGGGTAGTGTTCCTCCGCGGCAGAGGCTGGGGATCGTCGCTCATGACAACGGACGGCGGCTCCGCTTGCGGCTGCAGTATCTCCTCGAGTCTGTCAAAGGCCATGAAGACCAGCCGAACGATGCCGGCCTCGCTGTTGTCGAGCAAAGCGCCCCTGGTAAGTTCCACGCGATCGTTCGAGACGGTCCACCTTTGCTGGGCTGCCTCGCTCGGGAAAACTTCCAGCTCGTTGCCGATGTTGCGCGCGTCCAGTACGCGAACTTCCATCACTGTGAGCGAAGACACGCACGTGGCTAATTAAGCAAGTAGGTGTATGCACTCCCATCCCGTGGCGCGTTTAATGCGCTCCATGAGAATTCTAGCCGTAGAATTCGCGGAAGACGCGAATTAAATTACGGCGAAACAGTGGTTTTCAAACTTTGTACAACAAACACTTATTTTAAGTATACTGAAAATTTAATTTTATCCAATTAAGGTAGAAATCGAAACACTATTGTTGTATAAATGAATAAAGTTACGTTATAACTATAATACAATTTTGCATGGAACTCTGAAATATCACTTTTTTCAAATACGAAATAGAAATAGAAACTATTGTATCATTGATTTAAAAAATACATTCCTACGCAGGAGCGCGTGCCATAGTACAAATTAAAAACCACTGTAATAGAAGAAAAAGAATTTTTTATTTCTTCGACTTTTATCTACGTAATTGAATAAGATTAAAAAGAGTAAATTAATAAAATAGTTTTCAAATAGTGAACCAATTATATTGTTTAAAATTTATTAACTCAATTATTCCAAATTTACTGAGAAATTTACTTGTTGCAAGAAAGAGCAATAGTCCTAACACGCTGTGCAATTTGCTGCGAAATGAAGGATTGAGAAATTAATAATTGATCGCAGGATCAATCAGTGGCGTTGCCAGGAAGAAGGACTTAATGCGCTTTCGATCTTTCTTTTGAAAAGAAGGACGTTACACAGCATCCGACCGGCTGTCGCTCATCAACTGCCCCCCCCCCTCCCCCCGGCCCCTCCTTCTTTCCTCCGACGCTTTTTGCTCTCCGCTGTTATGCAGTTTATCAAGCGTGCATCTGATGATGCACGTACACAGCGGCTCAATCAAGCCGCGACGCACTTCCGGGAAGTAAATCAAGTCGCTCGTAATTCCACCGTCGTTTTGTAATAATAATAGCGTGCGCCCGCGCGCCATACTCGTCTGGATTATAACGTAATCCGGGCGGGTACCGGAGAATTACGATGGATTCGGATCTGTATTTTATCTATACCGGAGATTACCGGGTGTTGGGTGCGCGAGCAATATAAATCATTCGATCGTTTGCAACGTACGCCGAAGGCGAATGCGCAACGTGCGTTCGTTCCGTGACTTTAGAAACGCTGATACGAAAATAGTTACTCCGGAGGCATGACGATTCGAGTTAGATAACGAATTCCGTCGCGAATTCTAGGTTGTTCAGCAAAAAGGATACAAATTAGTTTTATATTAATAACAGTATATCGTGACTAATTTACGAATCAATATTATAAATTATCTTTAAAAAACCAAGAAAATTTGTTTGAGATGTATTTTGCCTATATTTATAATTCCTTTTTATATTATAATTTTATTTCTCTCTCTTATATATTTTGAATTTATGTCCCGCAATGCGCGATAGAAAATTAAAAAGTATTATTATTATAAATTTTTTTTAGATCTTAAGCTAAATCGTGATTCTATTTTACGTTAACGACAATTGCAAATGAGGTTCTCAACATAATTTCGACATGATGTTCTGCAATTATCTAGGCAATTGGCTATAAGCCAGAGATAGCAGCTTAATGAGAAGGATATTGAGGTTCTTAACGTCTCCCTACTTGGCACATAAAGGATATAATAAATGCATAGTCCGATAAATTGTTGCGTAGCAATTACCAATCATCATTAGCAGTACTCACATATGTTTTTGCCCTCATGCATAATGGTCTTCTCGTGCATAAGCGTGTCGGCCAGTAAGAATGCGTTCTCCTCGAGACCGATCAGCAGCGACGTCGCGACCCTCATCTGCTCCTGATGACTGAGATCCTTCCAGGACGCCATTTGCGCCTTGTCGAGCAGATTGCTGCCGGTCCTCACTACGCCCTGGAGCAGCTCGGTGACGCTGACCTCCCTCTGATTCGGGTCTTGGTAGGTCTTAATGTCCAGGGCCATCTTCTCGGCCATGTTCTTGATGATCTTCGTAGTGATCATCATATCGCCGCCGTACAGGCCGCGGCTGTTGTTCGTGACCTGCGACAGCTCCCTGCTGATGCCGAGAATCACGTCGCCGTCCGTTACGCGGTTCTCCAAGGTGGTCAGCCAGACGGACCGGCACTCGCTCAAGTCTGGATTGTCGCGGTGCCAGAAGGCGGATTCTCCGCGGGCCAGACATCGCCATCTGGCCAGACCGTTGGCACCGCCCGGGCAGCTCTGTACGGCCACTTCGCCGGCCCTGGTCGTATTCCAGGACAGGTTCCTGGCTGTCACCGGAGGACACACTTGTCTACCGTAGTCGTACCACTGGCCGTTCGAACTGGACTCCGGGTACAGAGTGCTGGGTACTGCAATAATATGATTACGATTCGGTCAGTATGATCGTCTTAAGTGACCAGCTAACGGCTGCAGTTAACGGCGTCGACGTTAATGCGATACCGGCGTCCTCGGGGATGCAGCTTGGTGCGCAACGACGCTCGGAAATGGTATTTTGGTCCTCCCCGGGGGGATCTTAATGCTTTGTCGCGATCAAACCAGAAGTGTGCTATTTATTCGCGTCAGTTTATAGACTAGAGGTGTGTTTGTTGTAACAAAAGAGAAAATAAAAAAAAAACCTAAGACAATAGTGGCTTATAGATCTGTGGACCTATAACCGGACGCAGGATGGCTTGTTACTGTGTAAATATGTTATCGCCGTTGCCGATACAAGATTGTCGCATGTAATCGGCTAATTGGTTATCGACCAGGAAATTCTCGAGGATCTCTGCAGGATCTTTAGAATCCATGTCCAAAAATATATCGAACAATCTTATACATAAATTCATAAACCAAAATGACACCGTTTAGTCCTGCTGAGATAATAATATTAATATTTAAAAATGGCATATATATCACATTATTATCCAACGTTTTCATTAAAAGAGGAAAAATCTTACCGGTGGTCCTTCGGCTGGTTCTCCAGGGAGCGAAGGTGGACGTTGTCGTAGCTTGAGTGGTCTCAAACATAATCGGCGGGTTATTCGCCGGAGAACCATTTGCAGGAGGTATTAAGTCCTGATCCTCCTCATCGACTTCGATGTCGACGGAGGACCTTGTTGACGTGGAACTGAAAACGGAGGGGTCTCGTTATTCTCGATGGTCCTCGTACACACTGAACTTTACAACCTTATAGATCGCGCCTGATATATAAATTAACGACGTAAAGGAAAATATTTGTTCTTGTACAGACGCAGTGATTGAAGGAAATTAATGGCGTAAAAATAATACGCGAGGGAAAATTTATCGTTTCGATACTTTTGTTCTGTTCTATTTTTAATGCTTATATGCATGATAAATATGACATACGGTAATATTGAAATATTATACATAAATATATGATTCTGGATTAAAATCCAAAATTTTTTCCTCGGTTTTTAACCGCTTGAGCCGCGTATTTCAAATGTTTATAGCACACTGACCTCGCCGGCGTCGTTATCGGCATCGCCGGGGTCGACACTGCCGGTGGTTGCTGGGGTGGTTGTTGCGCCAGTGTCGTAATCCTCGAGGGAGGCCTGACAGTCGGCTTAGCGGTGCTCCAAACACTCGGCTGTGAAGTTATGAACCACGGCGGACTCGGCCGGGACGTTGTCGTGGTGGTGGCCGCTGCGAATATTTCGTCAAGATCGCTTTAATGAGGACGGGAAGACTGGCATTGCGACGGAGCTTTCGCAGAGGGAAGAGGAGGCGACCAGGCGGTTCGTCTACGAGCTTATCGGACTCGAAGACTGAGTATAATTAAGAAGAAAAGTGATTTCAGAGGTGCAGGATATTTAAAGCTTTCGAGAGGTCTCTTCGGCACAGGAATATCGAAGTCATCCCTCTTCTCTTTTTCTCTCCCCTTCTCTCTCTTCCCTCTTCCCCTCGGATTGATACGATGGGGAATTTATCCACCGCGTCGAATTTATATTAGACTCTTGTTAATCATTCGACAGAGTTTGAATGAACTGTACTTTGCGTATATTCCCGATAGACCGAAGGGAATGAGATATATCCGCTGGTCGGAGATACCGAGATACTCTCATCTCTGTTTTTCTTGGCTCGCTACGTTGGAAGGAGCTTATCCGCTGTATCGGATTTATATCGGATTCTTGTTAATCGTAATCATTCGATAGAGCGCTTGAGTAAATCTCCTTTTGAGAATATCAGATATAGTAAATAATATTTGAATATTTGAATTTTATTAAAATATTTGATGCGCATGATCGATCAAGATAGTTTCGCAGATTTAAATTTATTTTCTAATAAAATGTAAATAGTGAAACAAGATTTTTTTACCGAAGGAAATAATAAAAAGAAAATATAATTTTCAGACTATAACAAGTATAACTTTCCAATTTTATTAAAATTGAATTAACGCTGATTAACGCTGAAGAGGACACGAATAATGTGTCGAAACGTACGTTAATATATATATATTTATTTTTATAAATTGTTTGCGCTTTGATTACCGCGCTTGGCTCTAATTGCCTCTCCTATTCACATTGCATTAAAATTGAAATTTAAATTTAAAAATTAAAATTTAATAAAATATTGTATAAGCACAAATGTAATAAAATTACGAAATACTTCTATTAAACTTACTTTGTCTATAAAAAATTTATTATTTTTTTCCAGCATTAAAGACAAAGAATATTAAAAAATTTTGTGTTCGAAAATGATCTCAAGTTTTAATAATTGCTGAGCGAACACTATGAATAAAAATTAAATGCTTTTTGAGCATATAAATCGTCCAAGAAGTATTTCGCGAATATAAGATTCAAATGGTCAAAGAAGAAAGAGAGAAAATGAGAGACGGAGCACAAGAGATTAGACTGCACGGTTCAATATCGCGACTAAATCTAGCCGTGAAGGAGGAAACGATCTTTAACCCAAGATGGCGACGACAGTTAATTCCAGAACGGGATGGTCCACGTATTTCGCGGTACTATCTTTATAGAGGTCATCTTTAGTGTCCGAGGGGGTTTGCGATAAGGTAAAATACCGAACGTCGCCGATATTCGTCGCGATAATCGCGCGGGCAAAGGTAAGACGTGCACGTGCAAATCGAAGAGAGAAGAGGAATCGGTTTTACTTCTCCTGTGGCCACATTGGAAGCTATTAAGAGATTCGACTGTTCGCGAATATATATTGGTGGCGTGAACTAGAATTGCAGTCTCTATCGAATCTCCGCGAGGTCGACCGACACACGAAAGCAGCAATGGGAGACAAATATAAAGGACGAAAAGGATTTGGATATCATTAATAGAAAATAAAACAGCGTATTCATATAGGAAAGAAGACAAATTAATATGTATATTTAATACTTAATATTATTATTTAAATATTAAATTTAATATTAATATTTAAGTTTCTGATATTTATTAAATCAATGCTGATCGTTAACCATACTTAATGCAAATCCTAAACAACGTTAATAAATATTGTAAAAAAATGAATTTAAAAAAGTATATATTTCAAATATATTGTCAAAATTAATTTTTCTAATTGCATTTATTTAAAAAATAATTTCTGCTATTTATACTTTTAAAAACAATTACGATTCGCAAGTTTTGTGGAATTTCCTGCAAAGACCAATAACGTCAAAATAACACAAAATAATCGCAAGATAAGACTGACGTAAACATGAAAGAGTTTACTTACCAGACACACACCGATAGTGCGCTTCGAGATATTTGTGTGTGTTTGTGCAAGGATCGCCGAATTGCAGCGTGGACGCAACGATGCTGCAGTTCTGCTGGTCGTTGCACCTGCACGAGGATTCGACTCGCGTTTAATAAAATGACCATGGTACACCCTTACCACGTGTACCGCCATGGATCCAGCCTTGTCTCTTTCGTTTCTTCAATAGATGGGAAAGAAGAGCGATGCTCTCGGAGAGAGGCTTTTTCGTCGAAATTCGTCCGTTTTACGCATGTTCTTTTATTCAAGCCTATAATAGCAGCCTTTTAGCAAAGCTTAGCTTTTGGAATTTTTATTCTCAATTCTTGAGACGTTAATTGAAAGAATTTGATTAAATTCTTGTTGGCAAAAATTGGATTTATAGTTAAAAATTAGAAACCCCAGTCGATGATTGTACATATTTATTTTAAAAAACATTAGACTTATTGTTAGTCATTGTCTTTCAATATTAGAAGATTGTTATAGAAAATAAATAAATCAAATAAAATTGTAAAATAACACAAAAAATTGAATTAATTAATAAACAAAAATATAAGGAAAGTAAATTTTCCAACGTCAAATAAAACAACAAAGGTAATGAAAAGTTATTTATAAAAGAAAAAAATTGTTAAAGCTGCATGACGGTTTGGGCGTATCGTCTAGCGTCGACACGATTAGCTCATAAGACGAAATCATAAGACGAAATAAATCCTCTTTGCTCCTCAAATTACAATTCCAAGATCGTGAGGCTCTTCCGCAGCGCGTGAACGAGAGGCGAATTCCTTGAGATATCTCGCAACCGTAATCCGCAACCGCGCGAAAAACGACGTCAGAATAGAAAAATGTGAACCAACCTAAGCACTGGTAGTGAGCCTCGATGTACTTTCCGGTCCCAGGACAAGGGTCTTCCTCGAAAACGTCGCTGCGCACGTCCACCGAACAGGAATTACGATGATTGCACCTGCAATCGTCACGTGTGCGAAAATGTCACCCAGCGGAACGACCTTACAGCGATTTCCAAATTTCTCGCAGAATCACACGAGCTGAGAATCAGGCGAGCACGACGATTCCGCGTGTATTGCTATCTCACGACTTTATTGCGACTTCCACGAGCACGACTCTCTATTTCTCGAAAATCTTGTTCGATATTTTATGATATCTTGTCTGGTAATACTTAATAAAATCTTGAACTCATAATTTCGCAAGTATATCTAATACTTGCATTAAATATCGAAAGATAACATGGTAATCGAATTAGAAATCTTTTTTCCACTTTTATAAAGTTCACAAATAGGGATTCGTTAATGTCGCTTCGTTTAAAGGATAAACTTGGAACAGAGTCAAACTATACGATATTCACACTTTTGTAGCAATTGATGGTAATCGATTTATGAAAATGTATTAAATCTTAGATTTCTCGAGCATTTTCCGAAATCTTCGTTCGAAGAGCAAAAGCGATTTGTTAGTCTCACTGCAAATTTCGGAACAAAAGCTCGGCTCTCCCGTTCGCGGAGCTTCGTCGGATCCGTTATATCACGGTTGTTCGCGTGTGTGTTAGCGTGTGACAGTAGGACAATGGGTTAGTAATGACACGTTCGCAACAGTTTCAGATATAAGCACAAGTTAGGCGCACGAGGTAAGACAGACGAGGATTCTAGTCCCAGATCCGGGCAAACGGACGTGTGTGTGTGTGTGTGCATGAGAGAGTAACGTAGAAGTGTGTCAGCACCGAATTACAGCTCGCCCACAATATCCCACGGTGTATATACAAAGATTAACTGCATGCAGTGAATGTTCCTTCATTTCGAACGAAATTGTTGCGTTGCTTGCGCCTGCATCGACGAAGGCGACAAATCGTATCGATGTATGTTTGTGCATAAATTCGTATCGCTCTCTTCACGCGGTGATAATTTATTTTGAAATAACGGTCGAAGTAATGAGATCTGGTTTCTTTACTCAACTAAATTAACATTTGTAATGAAAGTAACGTTGTTGCATTAAAACCGATTCGCCGATTCCGTCCGTTTAAGTGTGCTTCGCCGACTGAAAAGATAACGCGGATCCCTCTTTTTAGCAGAACCTCTCCGTTAATTTAGTTTCGCGTTTGTTAAATCCTTCTCTCTCTCATGGCGTATTTGAAAGCTCGCTCGCGTTAACAGGGAGAATAATCATGGTGAATTTTACTCGTGCGACAAAGTAAATTTTTCTCGTGCACGCGAAATCGCGACACTTTAAAGGACAAAAGCGCGGCGCGGCTCGTCGGCGATCGTTAGGTCGGCGGAATTATATTCTCTTCCGAGAGAATCTCGGCAATTCGCCGTCGCGTTCCCGTTGTAACTACGGGACTTGAAAATATTTAGTATCGCAGTATTGTCGTAATAAACTTTCCGCCCCGCCGAACTGCCGAGCACGCTTGACATGACTTCTCTCCGTTAAAGATTTTCTCGTTGACGGATTTTCAAAGAGGGACTCTCTCTCTCTCTCTCTCTCTCTCTCTCTCTCTCTCTCTCTCTCTCTCTCTCTCTCGGAAACTTTCCTGCAAAGGTACAATAGAGACGGAGAGTGTTCCATCTTGAGACGAAGGTTTCAGTTAACATCGAGAGTATTTTCTTTCTATCTAAATACCGGGCAATTTTCGAAAAATTCGCATTAAAGCGCGATTTAATAATCGCCCAACAGACAATTCATTTTATGTTAATATATTATATAGATATGTATAAATCTAAAACGTTCATGACCTATCGCACTTCTTTTTAACGGAATCTGGGTGATTAGAAACATTGTGTCATATTTTGTAAATGCGAGAAATTCTACATCTGATAAAACATTGTAGACTTAATCCACTTCATTCGCAAGCGTGATGATAAGAGAGAAATATTGCTCTTGAAACTTCAACAAACGGATTAAATGTGAGATTATCTAAATGTATCTTTATTTAATTACGGCTTCACCATCCATTCACGTGTGGATGCAAGTATAAATAATATGTTCTATTGAAAGATTTGCAAACGGAGGTCATCGCTTAATTTTGCGCACAAGAGTCGAAAAATTTTATTTACCTTGCTCAATCCGCCAAGATAGTATCCCGAGGTAATACGCGTGGGATTTCCACCTAGAGCTTGTTTGTTCACGACGCGATTCGACGTTGCGCTTGTTTTAATGGTCCGCTCGTCCGATCGAGATTACCCGACGGACGTACGGCCGTCGTTGCACGAGTGCAATATCACTCTCGGCGAGACCGAGATTTAACGCAACTTTATGAGAGCGTGATGTAACGCGATATTTCATTTACAAGTGCGACCGGCGTCGCCGAAATTGAATTATTCTACATTGATCTTTGAAAATTTAAGTCCTCGCGTGATAAAACATTTTCCTTTTTCTCAAGTAATTGAACAAAACCGGAGAGATTCGCAGTAGCAACAAATTCGATTTCATGTTAAAAAAAAAGATGCATTTGTACTCCGATTTCCAAATTGTAAGTCGCTAGAACATCTTTGGAGCACTCGACGGTAAAAATTTATTTAAATTTATTTTACTTTTTGATATATTTTTTGAAAACTACTTTTAACAATATTTTTCAAATATTTTAATTTTTATAAATAAAAAAGATCGGCATCTTAAAAAAACATTTTTGAGACTTTAAGACCAACGATAATCAGAATACGCTTTGACAAAAATACGCAAGAAACATCGAGAAAGTATATTAAGTTAAGAGGGACACTACTCCGAAAATTATTCAACAATAATGGAAACAATGAATTTCACCGATCTCGTTAGTATCTCATGATGTCGCGCCGCGCTATTTTTCCCGCGTCGCGTAAACGCTCTGATTGGTTCACGTAGTAACCGCCGATTAGTTCACGTCGGACGTCGTCGGTGCGGAACGCGATCGCTCCGCTTTTTCGCTTCTTTTTCCTCGTCCCGGGCGAATTTCGCGTACGAGTGAGCGCCGGGAGCGCCGAAATTAACGACGGACAATTACTCCGACTGTATTAATCGGTTATAAATCTCCACATTCGCGACAAGTACCCGTCGTTTCGCGCTTCGTCAAATCGGCGTTCGTCGGAAAGATTCGGTCGGAAGGATTCATCGGTACGCGCGTCTCCCACTAATTCGCAGCGTTCGCTTCTATTAACATATGAAACGTTGACGAAGTGCCGAGAGACTGAGTAGAAACGGGTAACCTCTTCTCGCGCGCGTAATATTCGCGCAACGGTCGTTGTTCGCGTCGGCCATGTTTACCGACGCTTGCCAAAATTCTTGCGGGCGCGCCGCGAGCAACGAGTGAGTTCAAGGGTGCAGAGTGTGAGCGTATCGGTGGTCTCGGCACGTAAACAATCGGCTCGGTCGCGGTCGAACGTATATCTCCGCATCCGCAATGTGCTTTGCGTAATTGCGTTACTCGCGTAAATGTCACTTATATCGCGATACCGCACGCGGAGCCCGCGGGCCACCGCTTGACCTGTCAGATCCACGCGCAGCTTGATCTGGAGTAACCAAGCGTCTAGGACAGGTATTCATAATTTTGTTCTTATATTCAAGACCGTCGTTAAGTACAGTGTTAAACACTGTTAAATATTAAGGGATGAAATTTAAACCGACATCTCGAGTTAAATGACATTTTGTTACTTTTAACTACTCTGTGCGCCGAAATTTATTGTCTTAACACAAAACAGAATTATTTTAACTACATTGGTTTAGTTAAATTAACGACATATTGAGTAGGAGCAGTGGCGACCTATAGAAATGATTAAAAATGATTCAAATTGAGTATAATTTAACGTTACGAATTTAACAGTGAAATGTTACGAACTACGAGTTCTCATTTATAAATGTACAAATATTAAAATCTTTGTAATTAAGATTGTCTTGAAATAACCACAAACTATAAATACAAGCCTAGATATCTTATTTAGCGGGAGAATTTGCCCCGGCAACTATGTGCGCGTCAGCTGTGTCAGCGAGCATCGACCAGCATCGGAGGACTGTTGCTGGACCGTCAATCCAAGCAGGAGATTGTTGGCTTCACTGCGATATTCGGCGGGTGGTGAGTGACCAACTTTTACTAAGCTCTTCGTATGTCATTGTA